GTCATAAGAGGATATATGGCTAACAATTAAATCTTCGGATGGTTCAAGAGCGCCAGGTCCAGATGGATTCAGTTTGAACATTTTCAAGAAATTTTGGAAGGATATTAAAGCTAATGTGTTGAAGTTTATGGATGATTTTTATTGAAATAGAGTTACTGATTTTTCCTTTAATAACTCATTCATCGCTCTCATCCTGAAGAAAAGTCAGGTTTTTTTTCCTGAAGACTTTAGACCAATTTCTCTGGTGGGCAGTATCTATAAAATTGTGGAGCGAGTTTTGGCGAAGAGAATGGCTTACTGCATAAATAAAGTGATTGGCGAGAACCAGTTTGCGTTTATGGCTGGCAAACAGATCTTAAATTGTTCCCTGATTGTGAATGAAGTCATTGAAGATATGAACAAAAGCAAGAGTGAAGCTATATTGATCAAGGCAGATTTCAGCAAAGCATACGACTCAGTCGACTGGGGGTTTTTGAATCTAATATTAAAGAAAATGGGATTTGGTAAAAGATGGAGGAATTGGATCAATATGTGTATTTCGACTCCCATGATTGCGGTTTTAGTCAATTGATGTCTTTCCAAATGGTTTTCGATTAAGAGGGGTCTTCGACAAGGCTGCCCACTGTCGCCATTATTGTTTAATTTGGTGGGAGAGGCTCTCAGCGAAATGTTAAAGAAATCGGTTGCATATGGTCTGTGTGGAGGGGTTGATATTGGGCCAAGAAATACAAGTGTTTTTCATATCCAATTCGCTGACGATCTAATCTTATTTTCGACAGCAAAGCAAGATATGATCAAAAACTTGTTTCGTGCCCTTAAAATTTTTGAGTTGATTGCTGGTTTGAAGTTAAATGTGTGGAAGACTAAATTATATGGCATCAATGTGGAGGACAGTAAAGTGCAGGAGTGGGAAGATATGTTTTCTTGTGACTGGGCAAAACTTCCTTCGTCATATTTGGGGCTTCCGTTAGGCTACAAAAAAATAGTAAGTTGATGTGGCAACCGATCGTGGATAAAGTCAGAACGCGCCTACAAAGCTAGAAAGGCAAACTTCTATCTCTCGGGGGGCATATTACTTTGATTAAATCTGTGTTAGTGAACCTTCCGGTCTATTACATGTCTCTTTTCTCTATTCCTAACGCCATAGCAGAGATTATTAACAAATGCATAGCTAGATTTCTTTGGAATGTTAAGGATGATAGAGGTATTCATTGGATTACGTGGGATATGGTGTGTGGTCCGAAATCTCATGGTGGTCTAGGTATTTATGATGTTAAGTTTATGTATTGTACTTTGTTGAATAAATGGTTTTGGCGGTTTAGTGAGGATAAAGAAAGCCTATGAAAAGAGATTATTATTGCCAAGTACAATTATGTTTCGGACGCGATTATGCCAGTTAGCCCACGTTATTCGTCAGGAGTGTGGCACAATATAGTGAAGTAGACTGTGATGAATGTTGATGGTTTTTTATCGGATGAGAGGTGCGTTATGGGGACTGGCCATAGAATTGATTTTTCGAATGATCATTGGACAAAATATCAGTCCTTACAAGTTACTTTTCCTAGAATTTATGGGATTGTAATGAAAAAGTTTGGCTCCATTAGTGAGTTTGGGAATTGGGCGAATGGTGAATGGGTATGGAATATTGAATTGAGGCGTGACTTGTTTGAGTTGGAAAAGGTTACTTGGAATAATTTTTACCAAGTTCTGAAAAGAGGTGTTAGTTCAAATCCAAGTGTTGATAGATTGAAATGGATAGGTTCTTCTAATAGTATATATAATCCTAAAAATTTTTGCATTAAGTTGGCAACGGTAGGTAAGATTGAAGACCCAATTTGGAAAAGGTTTGGAATAAGTTTTTCCCTCCTAAAGTGGCTACTTTTGTCTGGAAAGCTGTATATCAAAGGTTGCCGATTGCGACAGAATTGGTTAGGAGGGGCATCAATTGCAATTTTCAACTATTGTGCTTGTTTTACAAAAGTCATATGGAAGATGTCAATCATGTGCTATGCCATTGTAATTTCTTTTGGCAAGTGTGGCAACGGTGGTGTTCTTTATGGAAAGCCTGGTTTATTTTTCCAAGAATGTCAAAGATTTATTAGCGATATGGTGCTCTCAGAAAATTAGAAGAAAAACAAGGAACCTTTGGCAGCTTGAGTTTTTCGGTTTAATTTGACAGATCTGGTTGTGCAGAAACAAGTCAACGTTCAATGAGTGTCTTACAATGTGGATCAGATAGTTAACAGCATTTTACTGCAGATAGGGGTGTGGGCTAATGTATTATGACCATCGCTAGTTCCACATGTTCAAGAATTCGTTCGAAGCCCGGAATCTATCATTCTTATTGATCATTGGTAAGTGTTTTGGTTTTTATGTTATCCAGTATATTTTATCATTGATTTTCACAGGTTTCATTCGGATCAAGAGCTGTGGTTATAGTGCTGCTCTAGTTTATGCTGGGCTGCACATATATTTATTTGTTTATGGTGAATGGGTATGGAATATTGAATTGAGGCGTGGCTTGTTTGGGTGGGAAAAGGTTACTTGGAACAATTTTAGCAAGTTCTGAAAAGAGGTGTTAGTTCAAATCCAAGTGTTGATAGATTGAAGTGGATAGGTTCTTCCAATGGCATATATAATCCTAAAAATTTCTGCATTAAGTTGGCAATGGTAGGTAAGATTGAAGACCCAATTTGGAAAAAGGTTTGGAATAAATTTGTCCCTCCTAAAGTGGTTGTTTTTGTCTGGAAAACTGTATATCAAAGGCTGCCGATTGCGACGGAATTAGTTAAGAGGGGCATCAATTGCAATTTTCAACTATTGTGCTTGTTTTGAAAAAGTCATCAGGAAGATGTCAATCATGTGCTATGCCATTTCTTTTGGCAAGTGTGGCAACGGTGGTGTTCTTTATGGAAAGTCTGGTTTATTTTTCCCAAGAATGTCAAAGATTTATTAGCGATATGGCGCTCTCAGAAAATTAGAAGAAAAACAAGGAACCTTTGGCAGCTTGAGTTTTTCGGTTTGATTTGGCTGATCTGGTTGTGCAGAAACAAGTCAAGGTTTAGTGATGTGTCTTACAATGTGGATCAGATATTTAACAGCGTTTTACTGCAGATAAGGTTGTGAGCTAATGTATTATGGCCATCGCTAGTTCCACATGTTCAAGACTTCGTTCAAAGCTCGGAATCTATCATTCTTATTGATCATTGGTAAGTGTTTTGGTTTTTATGTTATCCAGTATCTTTTATCATTGATTTTCACAGGTTTAATTCCGATCAAGAGCTGTGGTTGTAGTGATGTTCTAGTTTCTGCTGGGCTGCACATATATTTATTTGTTTTACACTTTAGGGGGACGATAGATGTATTGTAGTTTGTTTATTTCGTTGAGTATTCTGGAGTTGTTCTTGGCTGGGATGTTTTCGGTTTGGGTGTTATAGGGACTATGTTGTTCGTTATCTTCCACCTTAAGGTACACTCTTTTTCCTCCATATAGATTTAGGGAGGTTTTTTAATGAGGTCTTTGGGGTGGTGTAGTTTGTGATCTTTTAATACAAAGTACCCTTCTTTCAAAAAAAAGATTACTCTAAATTCTATAAACCGCTATGTTGGCTTTTCCATCAAATTTTAGTGATATCATTTAAATAATTAAATTATTTAATTGATAAAATGAAAACAATGGATGGACAAATTATAATTCTTACATACTTAACATAGTATGTTTTGGATGATTGTAGAACTCATTTGTACATGTGTCTTGGTTTTCTTTTCTTTATTTCAATCTTCTTACGTTGATGATCGTAGAACTCGTTGTTTTTGTTTTATTTATATGTTTTCGATGGTAAACCTCAAGCAAATTTATTCTTTCAAGATTACACTTGACATTGATTCTTCAATTTGGTTCAATTTGGTTTTCTTTAATGAATTTTGAAGTCTTTGTTTAATTTGAACCTTTGCATGTCTTGAGATTGGGATGAGAATTCGAGAACCATTTTTGACAAGTTGACCTAAAATTAGCCAATAACTAAACATAAAATCAACGTATTTAACATAAAAACGTGTGATTAAAATAATGTTCATAACTCTAAAAAATAAATTAAAGAAGCTTTTTTATATAAATTTTATATTTAATCTTACTTAAAGGAAAGAGAAGGAATACTCTAGAGAAAAGAAGGTGAGTGCTTCTAGTGGATACACCGACGGAGCCAACATATATGATGAGGGATACAATTTCTAAATTTGACACCCACAAATAAATTTTCTTTAAATTTGACACTCCAAATAATCTTTCTAGCTCCGTCCCTGAGTAGATATAAAAGTCAAAATCGAAAGAAATACAAGAAAACAAAGATGAATAATTTCGTCAACCAGTCAAATGCACTTGCTTGACTATAATCTAAGTTAAATCCAATTTATAATAACTCAAAAGATGTGTATACATTGCATTACGTAACAACTCAAAAGATACGTATAAATTGCATTAAACAACAACCCAAAATATACGTATATATTGTGGTACGTAACAACTCAAAAATACATATAAATTGCATTAAACAACTCAAAAAATACGTATAAATACTGAATAACAACTTAGAAGACAAATAAATTGAATTAAATAACAACTTAAAAGATACGTATGGATTCCATTAAAACTATAGATGAACATCTCCATCCATTAGGAGGGAACTAAAACCTTGAGTAAATCTAGCGTACGAGAAATTGTAGTAATCTTGTTTGGTACGATGCTCATCATATTTACCACACAGTTTTGTTCTCATTACAGTAACTACAAATAATGAAAGAATGTTTACAGCTTTCCCAATCCGATCCAATCCCGGCATTATTATTCGAGAATTCGACAAATGTTTATAAACCAAAGAATGAATCTTGTTTACAAAGGTAAAGATTTAGGACTTCTATCAAATTAAATATTATAAATGCGAAATAATATCATAATATTTCCAAAAAAAAAGAGAGAAGAAATTGGTTCTCAGAAATCCCGTAGTACTAAATCAATCAGGAATTTGGAAACCAAGGCACAACCAAACCTGCATTCCGGATCCACTGACAGATTCAACCCGATGCCATGTTTATTATCCATCACATCATCTGCACAATAAGTTTTAAAATATTCCATGTAAGAACCCTGAAAGAAAAGAGTTCTCATTTCTTCGCATATCAATGTTCTTATTCGTTCGTTTATTATAATCTATAATACCCGGACATTTTCGACACGTTCTAAGAGCACTTTTCATGTAGAGGAAGGTTAGGAAAATATTTTCAACTGTTTACTAGCAAAACTGCCGCAGAATACATGTACAATTCGTTGGTAAGATCACTTTTCATGCCTGTAATTTCTTAAAATGGATAAAAGTTGAAAGGGTATGTCAATGATCACCTTGAGCATGTCGCCGAACATATCTTCGATCGGATTTCTACGCTGTACCCCATAGAACTTTTCTGCAATTTCTTCCAGCAGCTGAACAATCAGGGTTGTGTTAGAACACAATACATGTAATGATGTAAAGCTTACCTTAAGCTAGCCTAAGCGATAATAAAATCAATGAATAAAAGCCACTTAGCACCTCATTGAACGCGGGTTTCCGATCAATGCTATCGTTGTACTTCACTCTCATTGCAGTAAAAAGAGCCAAAGTCTCTTTTTCCAACCTGCAGACAAAAGAATCTAAGAACAACTTACCAGTCCATGTTTAAATTACTAGACATGGATTAAGGTTGCCTGCCGCTAAGCTGAAAACTGTAAGTTATAACGTCTTTAGATAATTATCCTGTAAATATTAGTGCTCTAGTTTATCACTAACTCTAGCCTATTTTTTAAAAAAAGATAAAGTTAACTTAGCTAGGACTTTTGTACATAACTTATATAAAACTCTATTGTACCTATTCAATATTGAGAATCACGGTGAATAAAATTGATCTTCTTCACCAGTAAACTTATTTTTTTACATGGTATCAGTTTAGGTTAGATCCTATCTTGCTATATCTCGGCCACGATGGTATTCCCAACCTCTTCTAAGGTTGTTTCTGAGGTTGAGTCCTCTGTCCCTCACACAATCCCAGCTGACTCCTCTTCTACTTCCATAACATGTCATCGCTTGAATAGAAATAATTACATTCCTTGGTCTCAGTCGATTCGGCTATACATCATGGGTCAATGGAAACAACAATATCTCTCGAAACCTATACCGATTCCAGACTCTACTGATCCTAATTATGATACTTGGTTGAGTGAGAACACCATGATTATGTCATGGTTACTTATTAATTCCATGGTTCCTGAAGTAGCGGAAAACTTTATGCTATATAATACCACCTTTAAAATTTGGCATGCTAAGCGGGAAACTTATTACAATCGACAACTTTGCTGGTTTGTTTGGGATTGAGTGTCAGATTAATGAGTTTAAGCAGGTTGGTCAGAGTGTTACGAAGTATTTCACTCATTTGTCTCGATTTTGGCAACAACTTGATCTGTTTGAATCCCATGACTGCCATTGTGGAGAGGATTCCAGACTCTTCAAACAATTTATTGAGAAACAACGTTTGTTCCAATTCTTGTTTGGTTTAACGGCGGTTCTCGATGAAATTTGTGGGCGTGTTTTGGATGTTAAACCTCTTTCGTCGCTCAGGGAAGTTTTTCCTGAAGTTTGCCGAGAGGAGACTAGCCGTACTCTCATGCTTCTTACTCCTACTGTTGAAGGCTCGGCTTTGCTTGTGCACTCTCCCAATGATTCTCGCCCTAAGGCCGACCCTGGTGTGATCATTGCAAAAAGGGTGGACATGTTCGTGATAAATGTTGGAAACTCCATGGGTGGTCAGCGGACTGGAGATCTTCCAAACAACCGTCCCAACGCGAATCTCAAGGTCATTCTGTTACGACCAATACTGCCAGTAGTAGTTCATTTGGTAGGTAGCAGATGGAGGAGCTAAAACAACTGTTTGGTCAGTTGAATTCTTCTTCCGAACCCAAGCACGTATGTATTGTGTGCAAAGGTAGCCTCTTTTTTGCTCTATTGCCTTCTTTGCCTACTTTTACTACGTGGATGGTTGATTCCGGGGCTAGTAAATTAGTTGTTGACTTATGTTACACTACCCATTTTAACTCTGATGTTTGTCAATTTCAATATTCGAGCTCGGGGAAGGAAATTGGCAGTGCTAGGCATGGTGGTGGACTTTACAATCTTGAAGCCTCTCATCCAATTCAAATCCAAGCCAACTCTAGTGTTTTGTCTCCTCTTGTTTTGATCTCCCCATCACCTACTGATGTTCTTGTCGAGATCTTTTTATTGCATTTTAGGTTAGGTCATCCTAGTTTTTCCTATATAGCAAAATTGTTTCCCAAGATATTCAATAATTTTTTATAAGAATATGAGGCCTCGTTAAAAACCCCTTCATGATTAATGAAACGCAAAAAGGTGCTCCTTAATCAGCGGAAGGAGGAAAATAGTGCCTTATAATTCATTAATAACATAAAAGATACAATAAGTTTAAAAACAGCCAATATCACCCCCTTTACACAAAATAACCCGAAAAACAGAACATAAACTACCCAAACAACATCCAAATTAGCCAATAACAGCCTTAGCTAAGCCATTAGCTTCAATATTTGTTGTCCTAGCCACCCATCGAATTACACCCTCAAAATCTCTTAACCTATCAGCAATGTCCTTAACAATTGACACATACACATCTGGACATCTATCAATATTATTAACTCAATCCACTGACAACTTATTATCGCTTTCGATAATCAACTATTTCTTAAAACACCCTCGAATAGAATCAAAGAAAGTAAGCTCCTCTTAATTGCCTAGAGCTCCATCAAAGAAGGAAGACCCGGGCCAGAAGCCTCATTGAATGAACCTAGCATCGAACCAACATCGTCTCTTAAGATCCCACCTATTCCACTTTTCTTCCAGTCACCACTGATTGCTGCATCCACATTCGTTTTGAGGAAGCCCTTGGGAGGAGGGGACCAAGGCAACTGATTGACAATCGGATTTCTGGAAGACATGCATAAATCCCCAAGGGAGGGATCACTAATGAGAGAATCCTTAGAAATGGAGACATCATTGAACTTAGCTAAGAACCAAGAAGCAAGTCTAAATCTTGTCGTGAAAAATAAATCGATCTGATCTAACATTCCCCCTTCAAACACAATGTCATTCTTGTATTTCTAAATTGTTCAAAGAACGATGCCCAGAACAAAGGGCCATATAAAAAAATGAGACACCAAATCTTCCCAAGCTAAAAGAAAACTTTGGGCATTTTCATGAAAAACCGCAGTGATTCTCCAAAACTTCAGGAAACTATTCTATAAAGCCCACGCAACAGAGCATGAGAAGAATAAATGCGAGGATGATTTCTCCTCTAACTTACATAATGGGCATAAAATATCCACAATTCCTGAAACCCCTCTCTTAAGTAATTTTGTCTTTACTGCCAGTTTCTGAAGCATAACTTGCCACATAAAAGACTCCACTCTTTGAGGCACCAAACCCCTTCAAAGGATGTTCTTCCAAAATGGATTAGCCTCCGAACTAGAAGAGCACGACTTAACACAAGGGTTGATATAGTAGATACCAACCCCATTTCCTCTCCAGATCAGACCATCTCTCGAAACATCCGATAGACTAAATTTAATGATGATAGACAAAAATCTTACCATTGTTCCAGTTCCCAGTCGCTCAATTTTCTCCTTAACTATACATGCCAAAACCAACCTGCAGATCGAAACTCACCAAACTCTATTAACTTGCCATTCTAGTTTGTAGAAAGGGTAAGCAGTTTAGGGAAAACAACTTTAAGAGGTGAATCTAACGCCCAATTGTCTTACCAAAAACGAATATTCTCACCATTGCCCACTTGGACTTTAAACAAACTGCGAAATTTGGAACCAAAAAAAATCTTCTTTGAAATGATTATTTACCATCAATTTCCAAAGCCAAGAAGTTTGAGCTGGAATCTTACTGTTAAACAATAATAAGGTCGAATCAAGATTGTATTTGCTGCAAATCATCTTCCTCCAAACAGACTCCTTATCATTAGCGAACCTCCAAGACCATTTTCCTAAGAGAGCTCTATTCGTAACATTGACGTCCAACACACAGAGACCACCATCATTTTTGGTTTTACACACTGTCGACCAATTAACTCAATGAATCTTATTCTTCTCTATTCCTCCTCCCCATAAAAACTGTCATAATGGAATTAAGTTTTTGTTGGAAATCCTAGAATTAAGGGACTAAATCTTCTTCCTTATTTTTAGGAGTTAACTTAGTGTAAATATGTCTCTAATTGTAGTTCCTAATTTTTAGGGATTCTTTCCTATGTTTTGCACTAATTCTTACTTTAAAAGATGTAATATGATGTTAGAGAAAAATTAGAATCATTTTTATCAAATCTGTTCATGGTGTCAGAGCCGTAGGGATATTTATGATCCATTCTACTTCTTTATTTTTCTCCTTTGTCTTATTTTTCTATCATGGCAAACACTGGAAATATTTTTGATTCTGAGACTTCACAAGTAACTCAGAATGTCAACCAAGCACTATCTCATAGTGATGTTAATTTGTCCCTCACAATCACTAATCATCGATTAGATGGGAAGAATTTTTTACAGTGGTTCCAATCGGTACTCATGGTGATTCGAGGTCGTGGGAAACTAGGATATATCAGTGGAGAAATTCCACGTCCTCACCTTACTGATCCTACATATGCTACGTGGGAACTCAATAATTCTATTGTCATGACCTAGCTGATCAACTCCATGGAGAGTCACATAAGCCGAACCTACCTCTTGTTCAAGACTGCAAAAGAAATGTGGGATGCAGTCAAGGAGAACTATTCTGATCTAGGAAATGCTTCTCAAGTTTTTGAAATCAAGCTAAAATTAAAAGACATTCAGTAAGGAACTCTTGAAGTTACACAGTACTACAACTTAAATGTCTTATGGCAGGAACTCGATATGTACTATGAAGTGGACTGGGGTGAAGGCTTGGAGCACACCAAGTTTATGTCACATCTCAATAAAGAACGACTCTATGAGTTCCTAGCAGGGCTGAACCGAGACTTGGACGAAGTTCGTGGCCGTATTCTGGGTAGGACCCCTCTTCCAACCATTGGAGAAACATTTGCAGAGGTTCTGAGAGAAGAAAATAGTCACCGAGTAATGATGGGAGATTCCAAGGAACCAAAACCTGTGACCAATTATGGTCATAGTCCTACTGAATCATCTGCCCTGGTCTCAAAGGGCCCTAAATCTCAAAAAATTCGAGCAGGGAATGATTCGAAACTAAGTCGCTCAGGAGATCGACTGTGGTGTAGCTATTGTAACCGTACCGGCCATACAAAGGAAAAATGTTTCAAGCTCCATGTTTATCCCGATACAACAAAAATTCAGAAGGAAAATAAGGCTCTTTTATCCTTGGACAGCTCATCCACTGCGACCCTTGTACCTACTGAAGCCGTTCAGGATGTTCGCCTAACAAAGTCCCTACTTGAAACTCTTCACAAGTTACTCAGTGCACCAATAAGCCATGGTTCCTTGGCTATTCAAGGTATTGCTTTTAATATTACTTATGAATCTAGTAACCATCCATCTTGGATTCTAGATTCGGGAGCATCTGATCACATGACAGGTAATTTATCAT